GTCTCTGAGAAGTCCACCTGGTCAATGACTCGCCAGGTTGCTTCTTCCACTGAGTCTTGGATGCTCCTGACTGAGTTGTAACTGTGACCTTTCCCCTTGACCCTATCTGCTTGGCTGGGGGCGAGTATTGGTGATCATGGACTCATTCCCAGATCGACTGGATCACGAGTACAACTGGGAAAGATACGATACGATACCAAGTGTGCTTCCAGAACAAAAGATACGCTCTGACACCGGCACCCCCACTGGATCTTTCTCCCTTGTCGGCAACGCATGCACAAAGCTTTCATAACCAGGTGCCAGGGCATGTTAGTACCAACAAGACTCTAGCTAGCTAGTCCACTATCCCGCACAAGGTGCCTCTATCCTATAGATAGAGCTCGGTTATATAGTGCTGTTTGGTTCGGTAGCTCTTGGAATACAGCACTAGCTAGAAGCTCAGATACCAGAAACCTGTCTGTCATCAGCATCAGCATCATTATCTTGGGTATACCATAAGGGTATTTCTTCATTAACAAGCACGTGTTAAGTACTAGCACTAGTATGGTGGAAAAGAAGACAAGCATGGTGGAGAAGGGTCGCTCTCGTTCTGAGACTCCCAAGGGTACTAAAGAAGCTCTTCCCAAGAATCGTCCTCGCAGCCGCAGTAGGGAACCTCCGCCAGTGAAGGACTTGCCCCCCAGCAAGTCAGTTCCATTGCCTCCCAAACCCAAGGCCATTCCTCCCTACATGGGAATGCCATTGGAAGAAGTCATTAACAACTTGCCCTTGACCAAAGTACACGAGTACGACGATGATGACGATTTTGAAAAACAGGTCAAACGCTGTGTGCCCTCCGAATTTGTCCTTATTGCCAGTCAAGACGAAATCAGCAAGGCACAAGAAGACTACGCTGCCATGGAACATTTCAAAATTAAACCTCCCGAAGGAAAAAAACGATGGCTCAATCAGGAACAGGCTGGATCTGTGGCTACTTGTGCTCTACTGCAGCTCATGTACGAACATCCAAACGCTTGGGTAGCAAAAGAGGTTAAAAAGGAAAACAAAGAAGATAAGGACAAGGAAAAAACTCAAGAGGAAAGCAAGGAGGAATCACAGGAAAAGGAGGAGGGAGATGCAAATCAAGAGGGCAAGGAGTTCTTCACCACAGAACAAATCCTTCATGAAATGCAGGACCGCATCAAAACCTGCTCTCATCAAGATGCCAATCCTACCATTTCTTCGTCGCGACCCCTGGGACCACCACGTCTGGACGAAGGAGTCTATGCACCCTACTATGTGGTCCCACCCAAGTACGTCAAGGGGACGAGAAGAGCACTGCTCATTGGAGTTGTCACGGGAGAAGGAAAAGATCTCAGAGGACCCATCAATGACCTAAAAAACATTCAACGCTTTCTCATCAACCATTGTGGATTCTTGCCAGAAAACATTACCATGTTGCAAGACACTAAAAAGGTACCACCCGAACAACGACCCACCAAAAAGAATATTCTCAATGGATGGAAAACTATCATTGAACAGTCACAGCCATACGATGTCAACTTTATTCAATTCTCGGGACATGGCAATCGAGATTACAACAATCTCTACATTATGCCATCCGATTACAAAAAGAATGGATACATTGTCGATGACATCATACTCAACAATCTCATCAAGGCCATGCCACGGCATGTCTATACCACATTCCTTGTCGATTGCTGTTACTCGGGGACTGTCGGAGAATTGCCCTACATCCTCAAGGCATCCTCGGGGGGAGAGCAAGAATTGCAGTCCAACTTTGATACCACCAAATTGAAATCCAACAACAAAAAGGACAAGGACAGTAAATCCAACAGCAAAGGTGGCAAACGGCAACGTCGAGCCAGCCAAACGATTGAAAAATTCTACGACATGGATACCAAGGAAGAAGCAGAAGAAAAGGAAGCGCAGGCAGAAAAGGACGAAGCAAATGGCAAAAAGAATGAAGGCAAATTGATCAAAAAGGCGCGCAAGCTCAAGCGCAACCTCATGCATTTTGATCCCATGAAACTGGTCAAATTGGTCGCAGAGTCCAGCAAAAAGGCTGCCGAAAAACTAGACAAGGGCATTGAAAAGGTCGTAGATTCCGCCAAGGGCAGCAAGTCGGACAAAAAGGCCGCCAAAGAAGCCGACAAGAAGACCAAAGAAGAAAAGGAAGCTGCCGAGCTACAATCGTCCAATACCCCCATGAAAAAGGTCAAACTCAAGGATGGAACCTACACCATGACACCCATTCGCAACAATAAAAATAAACGAGACAAGTCGCCAATCAGGGAACGGTCCGGGGGTACTACTGCTCCTGACGAAGGAACCACACCTGACAGGGATCGGTCCAAATCACCGCTCAAACATCGAACCAGCAAGACACCGTCATCACCCGTGCGATCGAAGTAGGGCGGCGGTGGCAAAGCAAACAAAAAAGACTCCAACAACCAATTTGAAAGACGAACAAGCAAACTCGTCAGTGCAACGCGACCAAACGACGAGGATGGTGGCGTTGATAGTCCAATGGCTTGGAGTTTGCCTGGTGTCACGGTACGACGGTTGTCTCCAGCCATGGTTCCAAAAACGATCGATCGAACAAAATAATGGAAGGTCTTAAATTTAATGAGTTGCAAGCAGTACGCAGCAATTCTTGGAAGTGGCCAAGAAGAGCAACGAAGAACAACAAAGCTTCCGGTTAGAACGACAATACATCATTACATTTCATTCAGTCTACATACATGTACATGTAGTTAGTCTTACTTCCTTTAGCGCAGGACCTTCGAGTAGCGCGCGAATGTAGCGATTATTGCGGGATCTGCCGCGAGTGGGCTCGGGTAGTGTATCGAAGCTCTAGTTAGTGGGCTGCTGTGGTGTAACGAGGGGATCAGTCTCGTTGGTCACGATGCCGCGTACTTGCGAGGTCGATCGCACGTATTGCTTGAGCCGCTGGATCCCTCGTTTGTCTGTTGACACCCGATCGAACCAGTGCGGGACATCCTCAGAAGCAAGTCCTGTTAGCGAGGCATGCATCGTGTTTTTCGAGGAGCGATCGAGTTCGGTCTGCATGGATAGGTAAACTTGCGGCAATCAAAGCCCGAATCATCTCACTCTCTCTACGTTTTCAAAAAGCATACTCGAGTAGCTACTAGTATCGTGAGCGTTTTTGATAAATACGTCTGACAACTATATATCTATGCGATTTAATATGAAAAGAAACAATACATCTATTTCTGAGGCGACGGCATCAGCGCGGAACACCCCTATCAATCCCATTTTTCTTATGCAGCCCGGGCTCGTTTGTAGGAAGAGTCTGGAGATGGAAGTTGCTCCTCTTGTTCCCAGGCACGCTTGTTGTGACCGTTGTTGGATTGCATCATCGCCATCATGTCGTTGCCGTTCATTGCCGCGAAAGCATCTTGGTTCATCATCATGTAGGGATCAGGAGTTGCCGCCGCAACTCCAGCGTTAGTACTGGCCATGACCGCGTTGGCCATGGCCAATTGCTGACGACGTTTGTAGAGATCGAGGAGCAACTTGTTCGTTGCGGGCGGACCGGTTGGAGTCAGTACGGAGGAGAATCCAGCACCGTTTCCGCCAACAAAGGCGCCATTGGCAGCAGTACGGTGGTTCATGAGGTAGGCATCCATGACATCGGAGGAGAGAGGAGTATTGAGTGCTGCACCTGCCAGCATCATACCGTGGGGGCTGTTGAATCTGGATGACTGTTGCGGCTGCGGAAGACGATGGTGGAACCCGCCCATCATGCCTGCGGCACGTCGGTCGAGTTGACTGCGCATGGCCACGAGGCGTTCTTCCAAAGCCTGAACGTTGGGGTTGATGGTTTGAGCGGCAGCTTGGCTGGTTTGGGTAGCGGAGGACGAAGCTCCTCGAGCCGAAGAGGAGGTGTCGGTGGCCTTTGCTTCTTGCATGCTGACGACGAGAGCTCTGCTTTCCTTGAATTTCTTCTCGAGCTCCTTGAGGCGCTTGCTGTAGTCTTTCTGCGTTTCTTCCGAGATGTTGGTGTCTCTTCGATAGACTTGCTTTCCATTGTAGCCAGTGCGCTCGTATTTCTTGCTCACACTGAAGAGAAAGAGAACGAGGAGAGAGATAAGAACCTGGCACGAACAGGTAAAGAATATGGATCGAGCCGAGTCTGGCTGCTACTACCAGGTAGTAGACGAGACGAATGACTTACCGCTTGGGTTTGCATCCCAGCTTGGCTGCAATGAAGAACCTGAGGCTAGTGCCATCAGGGATATCGAGGCTGCCGTGCTTGAATCCTTCGACGAGGATGGCCACGTAGTCTTGCTCTTCCTTGGTCCATTGGCCGCTGTAAGGCACCGCTGGGGCTGCTTGTGCCTGGGCGGGCTCGTTGGAGGACATCGACATGTGATTTTGCATTGTAGATACGTGGTACGGACTGTAAGCCATGGTTGAATTTGTTTGTTAGTGGTGGAGTCTTTTGGTTTCTGAACTTTTTGGATTGTGAAAGGAAAGAGGAGCTTTGCAACACAATAAGCTGAGCTCAGAGACTCGGTAATGGTTCTAGACTGGGGTCCACTCGGTACCCTAACTAGCTAGTTTTGTAAACGATGATTCTGCTGCGGGTGTTGAAATGGCGAGTGGCGAGCCCTGCTAGTGATATTTCTCCGGGGAAGGCGACACTTGCGGTGAGAAATAGGACTGCCCTTCTACAGTGACAAACCAAGCAGGAAGCTGCAAGGAGACAAGAGTTCTAACAGGGGTCTGCCACTTACTTTCCCGGTTCCGACCTGTTATGTACTCTAGTAATCCAACATCGACCACTGTGAAAATTGAATACTGAAGCCTCCACTGGGTGTTCTCTAGAATGTAAACTGGTTTATCTGAGGAACAAAATTAGGCCCAATACTTCAATACTTAGGAAAGAGCGATTAAAATCGGTTCCAGATGAACCAGCCAGTATTCTGAAGGCTGTCCGATGCCATTCTGCATGAACGGGCGACCAAGTGGACCAATCAATTCCTCGCAAATTAGAAGGCGATTTTCACACATAAGTCTGTTGGCCACTCAGTTTCAGTGGTGAAGACACCAGCCCTGGGTTCTTTTATCAATTGGAAACATACTGTCTGTGGTGGGTGCCCCGCATACGGTACCACCGCGAAAGAGTTGGAGGCACCTCGACGAAAGAGCTGGCAGGTACGTAGACTAACCCCCCCCCCCAGGTTGTGTGTTAACAATGGCACCAGTACCAGTATTGCAGCTCTCCTGTTCTTTTCTTGCTTGGTTTTCTGACCGCATTGGTTTTGATCCAAGCTGTCTCAGTGTTGCATGCACTTCATAGGCACAAGAAAGGGAGATGCGGCGGCAGAGAAAGCCGTGTCACCACTCCTCACCACTCCAGAAGCTGGGAAACAGGACTTTCCCCTCTGTTCTGGCTGGGGAAACCTGTGCACTGTGCAGGATGGGTTCAATTGATAAATCTGTGCTGGGCACTGTAGCTCGTATGGCGGCAGACTTGCTTGGCTATACGGGTAGCTAAAAGACTACAGGATCCATGAACTCGCTACTACTAGGCCTTGCTTCTGTCGCAAAGCAAGCTGCCACAGTGTTGACTGTAAAGGTGCTTGGGTGGCTGTCCACTGCCCACCCACTAGAATTGCGTAGCTGCAGTAGTATGGATTGCGGCAGCCAACTGCGGCAAAACGCCACTATTCCGAGTCGCCCAACTTTGCAAGCCACTGCTATTGAAGAACACGAACCTACACCTTTCGGATTCAAAACTCAACTACCAAGTACTAGCTACCTTTATACTTCGTGCTGACAAAAAACGAACCCACTTTTTGACAGGATTTTGACTGCCCGACAAATTTGACTGTGGATATGCGCACTTATTTCGCGCGCACCCACATGGATAAAAAGTCGTATCCACATGCATGCTGACATCACAGAGACATAGAGGGCAAAGTAGAGATATAAGAGGTAGTAGCCAGCATGCCATCTGTCGCATCAGGCCAGCTCTCGGTCCAGTCAAATCCATTCCAACTTTAGTCAGGCAGCGAGTTTTTCTCCAAAAAGAGAGTCGCATTTATTTTGTGTATGGCTCCTCCATCCCAACGTCAAAGACGTATCTCAACAGTCAAAGACAGCAACAAGCTGATGAAGTTGCTGGAATGCAAGGCGCCGCCCATGGCCGCCCCTTCCCAGCAGCTGCAGTCGCAACTGGTGGAATGCTACAACCCAGGCACCATCGGCTTGAACGCAAGATTGGCACAAGGTGTGACAGCATTGCGCCAAGAAGACAGACCAGACAACACAAAGAAAGTTTTCGAACCAAAGATCAAAGAATGGGAACAGTATTGCGAGCTGGTCTACCTACAGATCCATTCAAATACAATATGACAGCAGAGAAAGTTTATAGATTTATGATTCTACAGACCTTTCGTGAGAAGAAACCAAAAGGTGGCTCCAAGGAGGTGCGACAGCTGAGGGAAAGGGGAGAATATTTCGATCTCGAACTCTACAACCAGATTATGCTTCCCTTTCTCAATGCAACTAGCTCTGTTGCTCTTCCAGACGTGGTCAATCCAATTGGCAAGTCAGCCTTTGAGCAGTACAAAGCAGTGTTGAAGGGCATTCATTCGGATGAAACGAAAGGATACACCAACATCCCGGACACACATTGGACTCGCCCATGCACCGAGCTGTACCGCCATGTCAAGGAGCGAGGACCAAAGCTCAAGAAGAAGAATTACCACGAGAAGGTGGATGGGGAGTGGGCGCCATACGCAGTGGTGGAGCGGTTCCTGAAATCGAGGAGGAGCTCTGGAAGGATTCGGTGGCTGCCACTGGCCACAGACAAGTCAGTGCCAACTTCGGCATTGGTACTGTGCAAAGCATTTGACAACCGCTGTTTTGCGATGTGAGTCCTTGCACCGTGCAGATTTAAGCGACTTTCTCACACTGCGACCTCCCAAGATGGACACAGACATTCACCAAATGTCAATGCTCATAAATCAGATTCCCCTGGGCAAGACCAACAACACTGGACTTAAGCTTTATGGGAGGGCCATTCGGCACAAGGATGTTCGTCTGTGCTCTCAGTCCGGCCTTTCTTTTTATCTTCAACATCGCTTTTTCTGTACAGGCGAATTTAAGGGCATGACTACTGAAGAGTGGTGTGACAACAAGCTATGGTTCGATCAGAAGCTGCTGGCCGATTTGAATGCTGTTGACAAGACAAAGGCCATGAAAAACGACAGCTACGGCAAGCACCTGTGCCGTGTCCTGAGAAGCTTGGGATGCCGAATCAGAAGAAGCTACATCTGGGTCGCAACGTTGGAGCCAAGTGGCTGGAAATGTTGGAGGAGGAATCCGAAGAGATACGACGAATGGGGCAGTGGAATCCTTCTGTGTTCGACAGCTCTTACAGTACGAAGCTACCCATGGACCAATACGCAAGCTGGCTGGGTATCATGGCAGCTCGAAGATTTACTACAATCCACGAACGACTCTAAAGCCAAGTAAGGAGCTAATGAAGCAGACACCGATTGGTGAGTGGTGTTTCGATGCATTGGACGCTCTTTTGGAATATGACAGCAAGGGCGAGCATCAGACAGCATTGCATGTTTTGAGGTTTTTTTGTGACATGTGCGAAGTCTTCTTGCAAGATGCAGCGGCTATGGTCATCCTTCATCCAGAGAGGGGTATTCATCCCATTTACGAACTGATCCCAGTGCTGTCTTCGCCTGAGTTTGCTGTAAGTCCATTTGTTTGTCATGTGCCGACTATGCTACAGCCATGTGCTAACTTGTTTACTTGCTTTATAGAGTTTTAAAACTAAGATGACTGATGTTTTGACAAACGCCAATGATCCAATGGATGCCAATCTAGAAAAGGTGATGCCTGGAGTCCACCAGCGGCTTGCTGCCAACCATGACGCCATGGTTCAGCTGTCGGCCAAGTTGGACGCTTCGACAGAAGAGTTGAAAGAGGTGGTCCAGTTGGGAATTCAGCGCTTAGGACAAGAGGCCAATCTGAGAAGAACTGACCAGGATCGCCAATTAGGCATCACTTTCTTCCAGATCTCCCAACAGCTGCTTTCAAGGTCGCTCAATGGCGGTGTTGACAAAAGGGAGAGTACTGCTTTTGCTACACAAGAAACTGAAGATGCTTACTAACCGGTGTCGAGGAAGGTTGGATCGCTGGAGAGCCTTCTTCGCCTTCTCAATTGCCAGACACACTTATGGATGAGGAAGATGATGATGGTCCCACTGGAACATCGCCACCAACAGCTGCGACATCACCCCATACAACTGTGACATCTCCAATTAGAGTGACAGCCACAACAACCCGTACACCAGTTCATCAGAAGCAACAATCAACAACGCAAAAGGGAACTATACCGGAGGATTGGAAGCGCTTCCAGCTTGTTCCCAAGCACACGTCTTTGTCCAATCTATGGGATGAATGGCATGGTACCGGTACATTTGCTGGCGACATCGGTATTGCAGAAAGAGAAAAGCGCTGTGGTGCACAGTGGCGAAAACATCTGGACAATCAACAATTCAGTAGAACAAAGCGAATCATCAATGGCATCACTGCCTACTCCAAAAGCAAAGGCTCACCACCAACGAAGTTATCGCTGAGCTGGAAGAGCTCTTTAAAGAGAACAAGTTCAGTGTCGGCAACATGGTGGTTTCTCTACAAGAGAAGGACGTCATCAAAAAAGCAAAGCACAGAGGCCGAAAGAAAAAACAACAGTCTACTACATCCGACGCTTAGCTACTACTTGCTTTCGCCTTCTTCCTTGACACAACTCTTCCTCCAAATGCACAACCTTTTCTTTCAAATCAGTAATCTCTATAGCCATGTTTTCCATCATGTTGCTCATCTCATCAATCGTCTCTTGTAGCTGTTTCTTTGTTGTCCTTGGTCAATTTTCTTGATGGAGGTCAAGTAGATGGTTCGCTCTTGTTGGCAATCATGCTCCACCTTGATGCGACACATCATTGTCCCGGCATACCCTCGAAATACTCCATAACGATGGTTCACGTACTTTCCGCCTTTGATCCTTACTCTCTCACCGCGTTCATACTCGACCTCCACCATTTTGACTACCGACTTTGCCGTGTTTGTTTTTGTTTTCTTCCAGTTGAAGTTGTGTGCAGGATTGCTTAATTCGAACAGCCGACTACACTAGACATTGCTGTAAACTGGCGATTGATGTAAAAATGGCGACTAGTAGGGCTTAACAAATTTAAGTAGAGGACTCGCCTTCTTGACACTCGCTGGCAACCAAATCAGCAAGATGCGCATGCTTCTCCTGAGATCTCCATGCTCACGCCTCTCTCTGCCCAACAAGAGACGGAGGTTCTGGATCTCATCTTCCATCTCACGCATCCTGCGGTAGCGAACAAGGCGCATGTCTCGAGGGACCCAGGCACCAGCAACGGCAATGTCGGCTTCAGAAAATCCCTCTTGAACGGCCACACGAACAGCATCTGGCGACGACTTGAAGAAGACTCCACAAAAGGGCAGATGTTGCTGTAACGCACTCGCACCTGGCGAAAATCATGGAGTTGCACAAGGCAGAACACATTTCCACAAGGACGAAGAAAGCTGGCGACCTGGTGGAGATGAGTGCCACCTTTGATCAGACAGCATCATCATGACGGTAGTCTTTCTTAACCATAGTGTAAAGTAGTCGTTGGTTTTTGACTTGGTTTGCAACGAAATTGTGAGGCCATTCCATTGTGCTTCTTGTTGAGGCTACTACTGTACTAGTTAGTGTAGAAACAGAGGTGCATCGAACCATCATTTTTGTCATTGGCGAACATGTGCCCGCCAAGTATGCACCTCAATCCAGCCTTCTCAACGGAAGCCTGCCCCGCCAAACGTCACCCCAATGCATGACTCGGTGTCCGAAAGGTCACCTTTCGAATGGTGATTCAGTTTGTTGGTCGCCCTACTCTCCCGTGATTTGAATTTCGCATGCACCATCCCCCTGCCTGCTTGGTCATTTGTGTCGCTGGCAATCATCGCGTATGTAGAAATCCTACCAAGGGTTTCCCACTTCACCGCGAATATCGAGCGCGCTGACAAATGGTCGAGCTCTGTCAAGGAAGGTTTTGTCAGTCACGTAGACACCCTACCGGATCCCACCCACCGGATGCAAGACTCAGTCTTTGTCAATAGATAGATAACAAGTAAGTATCTATCAAAGCGTTGGCCACTGGTTGCTCGACTGTCATTCTGACATGGTTCTCACAAAGTTGGACCTTGCTTGAAGGGGGGTTTGTTTCCATGATACAAGAAGGAAATGTATTCACTCCTGATGGCTTCCAAGTTCGTCGATTGCGGTACTGTACGGGACCCTTCGTCTACTCAACGACACAGTTTGCGAACACAAGAATGAGTGACATTGCTTCTCTTTGCATGTGTACCTAGTACGGCGAACGAGCCTCAGCGAAATTCGCCGATAGTACGCCGATATTGGTGCCAGTGTACACGCCTTTCTGCGGTGGAGCCAGCAACACTACTAAAAGCCAAAGCCAAAGCCAGGGTATGAGAACTCCAAGTATCCGGCACCTTCACCGCGCGGACGACATTTTGTAAGAGTAGATTCGCATTACTTTGAGGGATTTGGTCTATGGTACAGATCAGCGCGCGTCAAGCCAATAGTGGTCTTCAAGCTCCTCCTCTGCATTTGTAGTCGTTGCGGCCTCCACCACCGGTGGGGCCTTGCAAGCATTGAAAAGGGGACTGTCATTAGAACCAGCGACCACTTTGGAACATGAGTTACGAAGGAAAGGGCCACTCAAGAACGGGGCCGGGAATTGCCTGTACTAGTATCCACTCGCCCTTGGCTGGCTGCCTGCCTGCGCTCGCCTGCCTGGAACGCACTACATGCGTTTCTCCTCGAGGCAGCCTTCGTCTGTCGAATAGAGGTACTACATGTACAATGTGTTCCGGTCAGAGCTGGCCGGAACACGACAGGAATGGGACTGTTTGGTGCACGCATTTCTTCCTGGTTCGCCTTGAATTGCTTGCCTTCGGAGATTGCTTGAGGCAGATCCAGCCAAGACAACAACGTTGCTTAGCTACCTACGGTACTGGTACATGTAAGGAGCGAAACAGGACCCAGCCACGGACCCACGGACCCACCAAGCAGCGCAATACTTCGATGTCATACGATTTTAGCGAATTCAAGTGCCCTTGCTTACAGTGCATCAGCACAGGCATCCCAACAAAAAGCACTCCTCTACAAGTGCAACCCCTACCATACTTAAAGAGCAACTAATAACTGTCATTGAGCCACAAAAAAATGATTGAATCGAATCGAATCATTCGAATCTACTCGATTGAGCTTCGACTCAGTCGAGTGGCAGTCTTCCTGAGTTCATTAACTTAAAGCGGCTAAGCCGCTAATCGCACTGTTTTGCCATCGCTACTTTTGAAAATCATCCGAGTCGTTGCATGCGGCGGTAGGAGAGGGATGCTCTCTCTCCCCACTGTTTTATGTCCGTGTACCGCGACGCAGCCACACCATTGCTGGATTGATACCGGTACCCATTTTTACAATGTAGACTACTAGTCCAGAATTCTTCATGAGTGATAGATGATAGCCGGTGTCAAAGTTCTGATGGTGCTTGCAATCTTGCCGAGAAATGGGAGCGAATTCCAGACACTCAAGCACACTAGTAGGACGAATAATCAAATAATCAATAAATAGACGTATGTGCCGTAGTCCAATAATGCTGCTTGGACTGGTCCATTTTCTTGGCTGTACCAGGCTGTCTATTAAACCTTGTGGATTGTGGAGGAGATAAGGCACCAGCTCTAGACCTAAAATGCAATATTACAGTACCAGCGATATTACCGAGTCGTTTGATGCAAAGTAGACTAGTAGGCCGGATTTAGGCCGAAGAGTCGAGTCCTCAGTCGATCCGCTCTTACCAGTTCGATCTAGGGCCTGTCTGCCTGTCTGGCTGTTGCAATGCGACCAGCCAACAACCAACGCGAGTACATATGTATCTGTTACCCTTCATGCACCTCTGCTTGTCCATCATGCTTCATACACCTCTGCTAATGCATACTGAGTACTGAGTACAACTGTACATGTTTTAGATAGCTCTTGAAAGTTAGAGGAGATACCGGTACAACAAGTGCTCTGCTCTACATGTATGTAGCAAGCTACTAGCTAGCTAGACTAGCTAGCTAGTATTGATCGATCATGAGATCTTGTAGCTGTATCTTGAGCCTCATCTTGAGCCAGTACCGACCCTTGAAAGGGACGAGCTAAGATGCGGTATGGAACCTCCAAGGCTTCCGACGATCCAGGTGGAAGCATGAGGAAGCCACGAACTTAAATGTAAATGGTGTTCTTCACGTTGACGTTTCTGGAAAATGAGACTATGAGACAGCTGTATCCTAATTCCATCTGTCCTCCCTTTGACTACTGACTCCTTTACCTTCTGAGCTCCTTTTGAGACTCAAGTGAAAATTATGGAGGATGGAGTCTGCAAGTTCAGTAGTGCACAAGTTGTACACCTGTAAGAAGAAACCAACAGATATCGATGCAAGGAGGTCACGCTGGCCAGTCTCCGCTTAGGGCACTACTCGAGTAACTGGTACCGGTACCGGTTTATTGGAGTTCTGTCACGGCATCATAACTCAGAAACCAGCAATCCAAGCTTGCTCTGATCGATTGGAGATTGAAGAGTGTACACAAAATTGGATCCTTCAAAACTAATTTCACTGAACCAAGCCAACCACCACCACGATGAAATTCTTTGACTTTGCCGACCCCGCCAGTGCCATGATGGACGATCCAGTGGATACTAGTGCTAGTGCTAGTACCGGTAGTGGAACGATCAAGAAGAAGGACAAGAAGAAGAAGAGCCGAAAGAACCGTTCGATTTCTCCCATGGCAAGTGTAAGACACTCTGGCTGGCAACGGCCCAGTATCAAGCGGAGTCATTCGACGTCTCCTCGTCGTCGCGATGGCAGCAGTGGATGGGACAATGCATGTATGGATGCTTCTTCGTCTACTGCGTTGAGCAACACTTCCTCGCATTCCCATTCCCACGTTTCCATGCAAGATCATCTAGAGGGCATTGAAGCCTTCTGCAAAGTCATGCAGGAAGCACAGCCTGAACACAGAGCCAGACTCATCTCAGAATCGCTGCAGAGAAAGCAGCAGAAACACTCCAAAAAGTAAACCAGTACAGTACACACAGGTCAAGCAAGGAGTCTTACCCACTACAGTACCAACCCTCAATCATCCCAAGTGGATAGATAGCCTTGAATTAATACATACTAGCTAGCAGTCTGCCTCTTAATCTAGTCTCGACATGGTACGGTACGTGGTTCGGCCTCCCAAAGGGAAACAGAAGCAAGTGCTGCTAGTATCTACTAGCTAGCTATGGTACAGTCAGTACATATAGCTATAAAATCAAGTTTGACCTTCAACGAAATAAATAATCTTCTCCTAAAATAAATGTGCATTCGTCTCTTCTCTTGAACATGGCCCAGTCTCTCAAGCACGAGCCCCAACGTATCAACCATACTAGTACGGTATATCCGGTGTGGCTGTTGCATATTGGATCCATCTACGGCAACGCTGCATGTCTGTCGTCAATCAATCATTGCTCAAGGGAACTCAAGCTTGCCAAGAACAAAACTGTTGGAGGATGCCTGAACCATGGCATCTTCTTCGGCAGCACTCAGACGGTCTCCACGATTCTTGCCGCGAAGTTCACGAGCTGCATCCACATCAGTCATCTTGTGCTTCTTATTGGGCATGACTATCACACGGCACGTGTCCGAAGAGCTCCAACCAACACCATCCTTTGCAGTGACTTCAATGTCATAGAACCGAAAGTCCACCGTATCCGCCACACAAAACAAGTCATCATCCTTTTCTTCGTCAGAACACCTGCAACAAGCATTGCAACCAAATTCTCCATCATTAGCGCACGCTGGAAACAAAGCAAGACCCACAACAGCAGCCAACAAAACAAGCCAAACTAGCTACTCACTTCGAAGGAGACACGTAGACCTTGGCAACTTCCACGTCGTCCTTGTTCAAGGCCTTGGCGAGGCGTGCAATCGCTCCCTCTTCCAGCTCATTGCTCAAGACTCGGATACGAGTGCTCAAATCGTAATCGTCAGTAGAGCAATTGTCCTGTACAAGGGTACCGGTATAGGAAAAGCCATTGAAGAAGAGAGCAGGTGTCTGTCCGTTAGCAGACCAATCCGTCACGACTTGCTCACTGTCCCAGGCTATGGTAACATGCAATGAAGCACACTATAAAGCCAAACTTACCTTCACTGAATAGGACAGCTTGGTATCAACCTTTCGAGGGCCTTCTTCCACAAACAGGGTCTTCTTCTCAGCAGATGCATTCGGGGAATCAAAGGAACACCTGACCCGGGGAGCCTGGTCGTCGACTAGCACAGTAATGTAGTTAGATTCTCCCTCGACCATGTCGCCAGAATAACCATCATAGTAGACAGGCACTGCCTCAAACTTGATGCTGCACCCTGTCTTGCCCTTCACGGTGAGCTTCACATCCAACTCGTCCCAGGAAACGTATACATCAGAGCTGCTCATGCGGACTTCCAATGATTCGCGAACAAATTCCATGGCAGCATCCGTGCTCTGAAAGCGCTTTTCAGCAAGACGGAATTCTCCTTTGCTACCTTGGAATCCCAGACAGGTTGGAACGAACAGCTCGGGCTTCAATAACGATGCCTCTTCCTTTGGCGCTGGCAGCTCTGACAGAGCAACACTCAATCCACGCCGGGCACCAGTCGAGCAAGTGGCTGTGGTCTTTGCTATAATGTCCTTCTTGACTTGAGTCAGATGGCCAGTAATGTCGCCCTTGATTCGATTGACTTCATCGGTGACGAACTCTTTCATGTTTTCAAAGTTGGTCTTTGCCTGGTCACCAATAACTTCTTGCGTTGTTTTGTGGTTGTCTGCATTCTGTGTGCCAAGATCCCCAAGGATCTTTTCAGCGTTTTCTTTGTTCTACAGTAGTACAAGCACCAACACAAGAAAAGTGAGCAAGGGATGCTGCAGACATGCACAAGACAGACAGCTCATACCTGCTGTGCAATGGACATGAACCCAGCATTGGTTGTGTCCATGCCAGCCGTCGAAAATTCCTGCATGTTAGTCTGCAGCACCGCGATGTTGTCTTGGAGGACAAAAACTCGTTGATACATTTGATCCATGTTGAAGTTGCTGAGGCAGTCACTTTGGTCGTACTGGTAAAAGATCTCAGTGTGCACCTGCATACGAGATATAAGAATCGAGCGAGTAGGAGAGTCAGTTTTGCCCAACAGTTGGTGGCAAGAAGATCAACTCCAGCAAAGAGCAGCGAAGTCACGTTGGCTGCTCAAACGTACCCTTCCCATTATGAACACTGCAAGGGTAGCAGCAACGGCAGCGATCCACTTGAACGTTTTACATCCATTTGTAACCAAGAAAGTCCTGTCAATGCATCACATATATTTGCGGTGAGTAAAGATATAGAAAAGTCATAAGCGCTGCAAGTCTAACATGTGCTCCTCACGGTTCCATGATGCAGTCAGTACAATCAATGACATCCAAGATTTGTTCCCCTGTGGCAATCAATTGGTCGAGAACGTGATCCCGATAGTTTGCATCCTGAAAGTGTAGACAAGAAGGTGAGCTATCATGGCAGAAAAGCAAGCAAGCAAGCAATAAATGGGCGCAGACATTTGATGAACTTACTGCATGGTAATTCTTGCCCTGCGTGGCTGTTGCGTAGGATCCAGACAAACTTCATAGTGAGTGACAGCTATAGTGGCGTTCGGCCTCTACAAGGACATTGCAGCAACGTACTACTCCCAATGGGGACCCAAGCTGTGAGACTGACGGGCGCATTTGAGAAAGGCGCCGCTGTGGCACCTTGTGGATTGATAGTTTCGGCCTGTGGGGTAATTGTCGCAGATTCATGGGTGGTGGCTGCAAACGCATCAAGACTGAAAGTCCCGAGTGCAGTTATTTTTGGAGACAATGGGACAGGAGTTAGATTCAGTCAGGGTGAGTATACTCGAGAAGCGGGATCAAGAACACGTTGGCCATTCAATCTTTCTTACTCGTCAAAGCTGTTGGGGAAAAGAGAGTTGTCAAAGACAGGGATAGTGTCAGTATTCGAGTCTGGCGACTTTTCCACAAAGTTTCATAGCGTCAGTTCTCACTCTTTATTGTTTCGGAGAAATTGAACGTCCTCGCAGATCTTCGTCATCATAAATATGGAGGAAGGTTGGCTGAGGCTTTCAACTAACTGGACAAATCTCTGAGCAAGCCAACTGACATACCTCTGAGTCTTTCGGATACTCGCCATCAAATCCAAAGTATTCGCTGTTGGGGGCAGAGAGGGTTGTTGTCAAGGAGAGCGTTAGACTTTGATCACAGCGCAGCATAGAACGGGTGCCTCATCATTCATACCGATAAGCACCACACTCTTTGAAATCCGTAGGGTCCTTGACTTCTGGTGCGTTCCTAATGTAGTCAGCATATGCCTTTTTACCCTTTTGCTCGCCCCACGATATCTCGGAAGCCATGCAATCAAGAAGAGGTAAACACGTTCGTGGCTCGGGACAATATGTGCCTGACCACATTGCACAAGCTATAGGGGACCCCACATGCAGTGACAAACAGTTGGGTCAGCACTCGGACCACTACACGACAGCAACTTCTTGAATCGACTCAGTGTACGTACTCTGTTTGTTGAAGCCGGCCATTGTAGGAGCAAGTCTAGAACATTTGGACTTCCCTAGCTCACAGTTGAAGGGCACCCCCCAGTCCACACCTTCTCCCTCACCAGGAAGATCCAAACAGCAAAACCCAGGAGAGGTATCGTGGGCACAGAGCAGACCATTCGAACCTGGGGAATAGAGGATTGAGTAACTCGCAAGCTTTCGAGAGACTGCAGGTAATATCCAAATCCATTCTTACCTTTGTCTCCCACAATCAGGGCAGCAGCAGTATCTCGATTCGATGTAGCCCCAAAAACCGACGAAACTGGAAAGAAACGAGTCCAGTGGCTCGGTACATTGGCCACCTTTGCGGAAAGAGGTATGTTCTGCGTCATTTGGCTCGTACTATCTGGTTCATTCAATAGTTTCATCCTCACGAGACCCTTATGCATGGTTTGCTCGCAGTAATCGCTACAACGGGTGCCACTTCAACGAAATGCGGCTCTACGGAATCGACCACTATGTAAGAGGAACCGAAACCGGGTTGGACGCCCCGCTTCCAAAACAAGTTGCCAAGTCCCTCACTTCTGTTCCTTGTGCTTCGCAGAACGCCTTGCGAGTGGCAGTCAGCCCAGATGGCAAGCATGTGTACGCCACTGTTGGAAATGAGGTGAGTTCAGTAGGAGACTTCTTCGCCCGAGACTTTTGACATGCATCCAATCTATGGCTCATCATCCTGCCACGTGCGTCACCAAGATGTTTTACATGAGCGGAGTGGCTCATGATGGTGGCTGGAAAGCCATTCCGGGTGGATTCAAGCAGGTCCAAGTAGGTGACAATGGAATTCTCTATGGAGTTGACCAGTACAACAATGCCTTCAAACGTGACCCCGGTAGCCTCAAGAGCACGTTCTTGAAGGGTGGGAAAAACAAGAGATTCGTTGCTGCTAACGGCTTGGGCAATCTAATCTTCGCTTTGGACGAGTAAGTTGCCTTTGATGATGATGATGATGACATCAAACTTGCCTTTTGACACGGATCGTATAGCGCGCCCTGACACCTGCATTTTTTCCATTATAGAGGGACCAACGCAGCTTCCCTCTTTCGTTTCTCAACCGGCCATTGGGTTGGCGCAGTGAATACACAATTTGTGTCACGCACGCAGGGATTTTGGAACTTTGCTCTCAACTATGCTGGGTCAATCTTTGCCGGCTGCAGTGCTGCGCATCACAGCCAACTCTGGGGGCTCTATCGGACCAATTATAACGGATTCACCGAATTTTCCAATTTTTACCACATTCCGCTTCCCGCTGGCGTCGATGGTTGTCTCAATGTTGCGATTGGCAACTTTGATGATTTATGGTTGGTGGACCGCAAGTACAAGCTCCACCGTGGCAAAATGGGTATGATTTCAGGTCAACAGACCGCGACGACCTTCAACTGGGAAGTTTTGGAAGGCATGAGGGTTTCGCAAGTGGCAGTTACAAAGGACGGTCAAGTGTATGGAGTAACGTTGGACGGGCACGGGATCCTCCACTGCCCCAAGGACAACCCAGCTACCGATTTCGAAAGTCGTTGCGAGTACCTTCATGTAAGTTTCTTCCCGTGCATCTATGGATTGTCCACGTACCGTACGTCGTTCATCGCCCTTACTTACACACAATCACCTGTTTCTAATTTGCAGGGCCCGAAAGGAACCATTCCCGACACGAGTTACGACTTTGACATTCTCTAGCTAGCTAGGGTTGTTGCGTGCTTTGGGTCCATCCATCCGTGTCTCAATTGCGATGCCTACGTTTTACCAAGAGTGCAATCCAGCGGATCGAGTGAGAAAGCCTCCCTCGAGGATTTCTTGTCGAAAACCATGCAGTGCTTCTACTACATATTTTTAGTTTAGTATTTTAATAACGAGCCGTTTGCCTGTGTGTATTAGCTCATCGGAGCAAATATTCTAAAATAGGCGAGGATGAAAGCAACTCGACCCGAGACTCAGATCTGTATACATGTAGTTAGTTGGCTCAATCTCCAGTATTCGGTTGAATGTTGAAATGTTGATTGAGGATGGCTTGGTTCTTATTAATGTCCTGGCTGTTGGTGGTAAAGCTGGTGGCCAATGCCTTTTCTTGCGCAAAAGTAGACGTAGTTTCCTTGTTTTCGTGATTATTGTCATGCTGCTGTGGACTATTGTCGTCATTGGTAGTTGATTGTCCCCAATAATCAGCAGCATCCAGTGCCACCAAGCAGCTTTCTCGAACGACCGGATTTGGATCGTTCTGGAATTCTTTTAGAATGGGTTCGACTTGATCCCATGCCCCTTCCATAATGGCTCCCAAAGCTTCTGCGGCTTCGTGTCGAACCATCATGTGTTCTCGAGTGCATCGGAGTGATTGTTCCAATGCTTGTACAGAAGCGGGATGTTGCAATTGTCCCAAGACATAGGCCACTTCATGCCGTAATAAGGCAGACGTGTGCTTTCGTAGGTCGTCATCCAGTGCTCGACAGAGTTGGAGTACCGCTGGTTCGCCTCCTCGATTGCGCAGTGAAAACATGGCACGATAACGATCAAAAATGGAACGATCAGGATTGCACAGAATATCCCCCAATTCCTCAAAACTCAAATTGGCATGCGCCGGATGAGGAGGTGCTGGATCCACGGACGAATAAGGATTCAACATGCACGCACATCCAACGGGAGCTTCTGTCTTGAAGTTTGTTTCCGCCGTTGTTTCATTTTTGTCTTTGTTTTGCAACCTCCAATCCATGACATTCAAGGCCAGCAAGCACGTCTCGTAGACTTCGATTTGCTGTTGTTCTTGACTGTGCAAAAGTGTGCGTTGCAAGACACTCCGACTCTTGTCGAATCCAATGGCCGCCAACGCTTCGGCGGCTTCGTGGCGGACCATGGCGCAATCGTGGTCATTCTCCAAGATTTGCTCGAGCACGGGACAACACCGTTCGTCGCCCAACTGACCCATCACGTACGCGTACTCGTGGCGCATCAGAGATCCGTGATGGGTATCCTTTAACCCGGATGTCAAACTGGCAATCACTCGTTGCTGCACATCACTACTACTGTCATTGCTACCAGTACTCGCATTGCTGTACAGTTGCTTCAAAAAGTACGCAGCGCGCATTCGCATACCAATTGGACTTTCAGGATTCGAGATGGACGATTCCAAGACGGACAGAGGGGGAGCAGAATCCCACATTATTTGGTTGTCTATTTTGCTAGCTGGTCTGTTGTTGCTGTGCTCTGAGCTCTGAAAAAGTTCCAAGGCAATGATCGATCACGATCGTGGATCTCTTTATTGACTTTGTTGAAAGTTGGAGTATGAAAGTTGCCGTTTCTTCTTTGTGCTTTGTTGGTGGTGGCAGGAACGTGGAAGGGACGAAGGACAGACATTGGCAACAGGGTTAGAGCTTTTACACAAGCTTGCGAAGGCAGAGCGGGTCAAAAATGAGCGGATGACGTCAGCAGAGCAATGGCAATTGTGGAACGCGGACTGCATACAGTGTACCTGGCTAGTACCACCGGTATGGGCCGAATCCAAGTCTGAAACTCCCCTGCATCCTTCCGAAGTTAAAAGTTCTCTGCTGTCATCTTGCAATAAGATGCATTTATAAAAGTGCGCTTGTCAAGTTCATTGCCCATCAACCTGAACTGAACCAATATAGAAGTAAGGTACTGTACTAGCTAGCTATTCTAAAAGTGTAAGATGAGCAGCAGCATCCAGCTTTTTCTTTTCTTCAGCTTCTTCACCACAAGTTTGGTTGTGAGGTCCTGTGCTTTTCCCACTGGTGCTGCTTCCTGCGTGGGAGATGGTCCGGCTGTTGCTGGTTCTCACTTGATGAGTTCTGCAGTGAGGGGAGATTTGGCAGACTATGGTTTTCTCTTTTCAGTGGATGGTAATGTACTAGATCCTAATACTCCCTTGGATCTCTCGACTGGGGTGGCTCACTCTTGGACCTTATCTGTGGACTATGACTTCCCTATGGCCCAGAAGTTTCGAGGATTCTTGGTACGTCTCAGTGGTGGCAATACTGCCACACATGGTGTGGACCAACCTTTGTTGGTATCAGAAGATGTCGAGGTACAAGATGCAGAAGCATGTTTGGCCTTGGAGGGCGTAAGTGGTGTCACACATGTCTCCAATGACCAAAAGGACTGTGTGGGGGGCTCTCTCGTCTTTGAGATACCCAGTGACAACCTGATTGTGGATGTTACTGTGGTGATTGAAAACCAACACAAAAAATCCACTTTTCTGTTTAACAGTTTCACCATTCATGCTGTGGCTAGTACCAGTTTGGATCCATCTGCGGTTGCTTCCGGATCAATTTTTGCAAATGGCTGCAGTGCCATTGCAGCAGCACAAGATGAACGACGATTGCAATTCCTTGCCAACGAAACCGAGCCGCCCGAACTTCTGCCAACAGTTGTAGATATTGTCTCCGTCCACGTTTTCTTGGACACCTTGGCAACTGCGCTACAATTTACTGGACTACTCGAGGATGGTGGGCCACTCACTCTCTTTGCGCCAACCAATCAGGCTTTTGAGGACCCAGCGATTAAGTATTTGCTGGATCCAAAATGGATATTTCATCTGGAGTCACTGTTGGAGCATCATATCGTGGAAAGAGTTTTGTTTTCCTGGGATTTGATCTTGGGAAATGAAACCTATACTGCATATGGCGAACGTATCAATGTGACCAGTCTCAGTCCACCCACCCTCAACGACGATGCAACGATTGTTGTGGCGGACATTGACGCCAGCGATGGCGTTGTCCACATCATTGATGAAGTGCTCCTGCCTGAATTCATGTTGTTTTCATTGGAGGACGTCTTGATGCAAATTCCCCCGATCTCAAGATTTTTGTCTCTTTTGGAGCAGACAAATCTGACGCAGACTCGAGTGACTCTGGCCGCTGGAGGAACTATATTCGCTCCCACGAACAATGCCATTGACGGTGTTGTGGAAGCCGGGTTCATTCCAGAAAATGCAGATTTCTTAGAGAACCTTTTGTTGTACCACATGGCTCCTCGGGTTGCTATCGTGAGTGAAGCCCGAGTCGGCGACAACGTCACCACGCTCGAAGGCTCCAACATTACCGTCACGGATACCGGAGCGGAACTCGTCATCAACGGGGACACAACTGTGTTAGACGCCGACATCCTCGCTGCCAACGGCGTGATTCATATCATAGACTCGTTGCTATTACCGGATACTATTCTCTTAACAGCCAGTCCTACCGCAAGACCGTCACCGAGACCGTCACCGGTGCCCTCACCGAGACCAACCACACGGCCCTCACCGAGACCATCCCTGCGGCCAACATCACTTCCAACGCCTCTGCCTACGAGCGCACCCACAACCGACGCCCCAACGCTTGAGCCGACAGAGCAACCCACTACCGCGCCAACCCTTGAGCCGACAGACCAAACCACTACCGCGCAAGCTGATGGTGACTTTGGACCAACAAAGGCACCAGCCCAGGCACCTACACTGGCAATTCCAGTAGCAAATCCGCAAGTGACAGCTCGTCCTAAACCCCAAGAGGAGGTGCTGGGACCGACTGAGCCTGTGACATTTGAACCATCTGCCACCATGGCGACAGACCAGCTCCAAGCCTCCATGTCTGGTCTGAGCATGACTCTTTTTGGGGTGGCCTCACTTGGGGTTGAGGATATCCAAAACTGGGAAGCAGCAGCTGCGTTGCACTCTCAAGAAAGTGTCTATATCAAGTGGCAATCTATCACTGCATACTCAGCTGCTTTCCAAGTCTCCAATGTGCAAGACATAGTAGGAAGGCGGCGACTGCAGGACACGGTGACACTGCAGTACATTCAGAGCATATCATATTCTGCCGCTCCTGGGGTGATCCTTGAAGAGTTGTTTACGTTTCCATTTGATGATCCCAGTTCGAAGACAGAGTTCGTGGAAACTCTGAAGACATACAAAGGGGAACTGAGCAATGTTCTGTTTGTGTCAGATGTGGAATTACCTTCTGAGACAACTACACAGCCTTCTTCTTCGGCCCTACAGACAGCAGACCCTGCAATGGCACCCACAACACCGATTGAGTCCCCAAACAACATGACATTGATTATCATCATTGTGGTAGTTGTTGTGGTAGTATTTCTGGTGGCTGTTGGGGCATTTGTATTTCTGAGGAGTAAATCGAGCTCTCGCGATGGCAAATTGCCCAAAAACGAACCAGAAGGAGAACCAAATGCTCCCGAAGACATGACCAAGAGTATATCAATGCAGCATGGAGCCCCTCTTGGGAGTGACGAATCAGAACGAGTGTCACAACAACCTGCCAGAATCCCGGATTCCGTGTTGGAGGTTCCTGATGCTCCTACTGGTGGTGCTGTTTGGGACCGAACTTTGATTGAACTAAAGAGGGAGGGTGTAAATGATGTTGTGGGGGATGATGCACCCATGACGGTCACAGCTGTGCTTCATCAGCCTGAACCAGTACCGATAGCAATTCACCAATCCGAGGCTCTTGATCAAAAGAGAAGGATCAGTGATCGCTCTGACCGTCGACGTGGTAACAAACAAGGGGACATGGTCCCTGTGGCCAAAGCTGTGCCTTTCGATGAAACCCTGTCTGAATCCCCACCAGAACCACCAGTAGACCAAAGATATCTCCGGGAGAAAGATGATCTCTTTGAAGCATAACGAAGGAATCTGGTAGGGGGTCAAGTTGAAGAGTTGATTCCACAATCGCTGGATTGCTGGCCATTACTGCCGCAACTGGTACATGTATTTTCATATGCATGCTCTCCACGTCGTAACTCCTAGACAAACTATTCAATCGCAGCTTGTGTGGCGTACAGTATCATTGTCTTCCACTTTCCTCTCCAAGCGTCCAAATTGGTAGTAGCCCTCCTTGACAAGCTAGCCAGCCAGATGGGGTGGAGTCCTGGCTTGGCCGAGTAGGATAATTCCCCCTGCTAGTAGGATGCCCGCAAATAAATCTAGGCTGGAATATCGCCAAGGATGCAGCTCCACAACACCTTGCCGTCGTCTCCGCGATTCTTTTCGGATCCGCAGCGATCTCCTCGCTCGTACAGAGGTCTCCTTGAGAAGCCAGCGACAAGGAGCCCTGACTTGTCCGAGTAGAAGTCTTTCCCAAAGGTTCCTTCCTGAAAAAGAAAAAAAGAAATCCTGTCCGCAGTCCGCAATACTGCCGAATTCAGCCCCCTAACACCCTCCCACCGTCTCTGCGCTTCTTTTCGGATCCGCAGTGAGCCCCATGCTCGCAGCCTCTCCACGCTACATGTATTCACGTATTCACAGGTGGCTCTTGAAAACAGGGTTCTCCGGTGCGATGCATGCACCTGGTTAGTGGAACCAGATCTTATATCTTAGTTGGAATGCTCCGATTTCGAAGCAGGCTATAGCCGTATAGCCCATGTAAGAAGGAATATCAAAATGTTATAGCTCTTCTACTAGATCAGACTGGATTTATGTGGCAACAGAACAACTGATGCCTGAGAAGCTGAGAAGCTAGCCACATACATGTGCTGGTGCTTTTCGAAAACGCTTCACGTCAAGAGTTTCTCTACGGTTGCCGCAAAAGAATCAAAGACGGAGCAAAACAGCTACTGATAGACTCTTTGCAGCTTGGAACTTGTTCGGCCCTTGCCAGTGTCCCTGAACTTTTGGGAATCGGAAGGTTCAGGACAAACCTTCCGCTCGCCAGCCAGGAAGGTAGCAGCCTTCACTGCCTCTACTGCGCTCATGTTCCGTACCGGTATTGTGTGCTGTGTGACGGAGTAGTGGCTTCTACGGTAGCTCTTCAAGAGATACTAGATTACAGGACAACAGGACAACAGCAAAAAACATACAGCCCATTAAACCCTTCGGCAACTGACAGAGTACTTGGTATCACCGAAGTAACCAAAGATTACCTAGTGGTCTTGAAAAAACCCGGCAAAAGGGTCTTTTACTAGCACTGTTAAGTCTTATGCTTCGGTTGCACAGAAAGCAATCGGAAAGCATCAGTCCTGAATAGCTCCAGAATTTCGTCAGTTCTGGTTTTGGTAATGTTATGGTTGAATAGCTTTTTTCAAGGCAAATGTAAGCGGTAAGAAGGAAGCTGGAGCACTTTTGAACAACAAGGAAGGGAATTCGATTGCAGAGCTATTGCAGAGGGTCTCAGAGGTCTTATTGCCCGCCGGGGCCCGAGGATTCATGCCAGTACCGCAAGGCTGGCCACTGGCGAGTGAAGGGCTGTGAACTTTCTTGCCCAGACTGACAGAAAACAGAAAGCCTCCAAGTTCGTACCAGATACCAGGTACTACCACTACTTCTTTTACTCTTCTTTTGTTCAGCTTTTGTAGCCTTTGTTCAGGCAGTACTAAGTCTTACTACTAGCTGTCTTACTCCAGGAGCTCTCCAGGAGTCCACAGGGTCTTCGCCGTCTTCACCGTCTTCGATTCGCGCCTCTTTGAATTTCCCCAGAACAAAAAAGAAGGCGAGTCAAATTGCAGAGGGTCTGAAGGTCTTATTGCGTGCTATTGCCAGAGAATTCATGCCCCATAAGCCCACATACATATATATTTATAAGTGCAATAAGCTCACATCAACCTGGTCACTGGTCTCTTCAAACTGGCGAGAACTTCAAGCGACGTTTGAAGTAAGTGCTCTGAAAGACTCTTACTCTCTTACTGTACCTTTTCTGCCCCCACAGCCCCACAGCTTACCTACCAGATAGGGTTTTCTTAGCTGTTTTGTTCATACCGGTATGAAGCAAAGAGTGAAAGAGTGAAGTTTGTTCAGGAGGTGCGATCTCAGATCCCTCAGCTCTCACAATCCAAAAAACCAAAACAACCAAACCAGTTGGAAACCCAGCAGTTTATTTTTTTAAAAACCTAATCTGATCACACCCCCATGAGCTCTCAGATTTTTAATACTGATGCCGTCACTTTGGAAAGTCTGATCCGACAAAACAACCGTGCCATCCACATGCTGCGTTTGTCAGACTACTCCAGAGCCACCAAATTGCTCTGTTCAACGGTAGCTGGTCTCCAGCAGTTGGCACCTTGATGAGACGACGATGACGACTGGATGGAAGATAAGGAATCTCGTTTTTCTATTCCTTGGACTTGCAGCAGCAACAGCAACCACAAGGTGAGGAGGAGCAGCAGCAGCGTCTTTCGAGCCCCATTCGGATTGCTTGCTTTGATGGCTTGGGTCTTTGCGGCTCTGTTCCCCTCTTGAATCGCGTCTCATTTGCAGTGGTGTACAATCTGGCATTGGCATTCCATTTGGGAGCACTTGCGGAGCCGATAATGGCCGTCGTCGCCAACGACTGACCAAGGCACTCAACTTTTACACAGTGGCCCTAGATGGCAGAGGCCGCCCCGGTCTAGTATTACTAGTGGTGCGAGCTCACTGGGAGGATTCGGAAGCATGGAAGCCTTGGCCATTGTGAATAACCAGGCTCAGATTCATCAAATCTTTGGGGCCAGCCTCAAGTCCGACGAATGCCACACTGTCATGCTCAGCCACATCATGTACACCAGCATCGCCACCGGTGGACAGCCCTTTCGAGACGAAGAATCCCTAGGTGCATCGGCCATGCAGTCCTGCCTGGAACAGTTTCTTGCCAACGCCACCCAAAAATCTCGTTGTGCCGCCCAGGCGGCGTAACCCGGCACTTGCCAAGTGCGAACACCCTTCCAATTTTGCTTACAGTACATTCTTTTTTGGTGCGAGCATTGGATATATACTATGAGTAATCCTATAGATTGAATATCCTTTTTAAAAGCATGAACGTGCAGAAGCACTGTTCCTGTAGTGTCCGTCCAGAAAATCACTGCTGTGCATGCACCCCACCCTAAGAGCCAAGACAATACTACTAGCTATTGTACCGGTACTATCGGGACCTTTGCAGCTCACACTCAGCGAATCCATTGGCTCCGTACCTATGCATAGATTGTTGATGTGCTAGCTATCTTTGCTTCGCCATCTGCTCAATCAGCTTGGAACGCCAGCCGCCAGGATCCCGCTCGTGGTCAAAATCAGCTTCCCGTGGACCAGTGCCGCTACATATCGTTCGCCGGTCCTTTGTCGAGGTGCAGCCAAGCCGCCTCCACCAAGCATTCGCCCCTTGCGTCACAGTACAGTACGTACGTGCGACCTGTCGCGCCATCACAGTGCGATGCCGTACCTGGCACATGGTACTGGCAGAGCAGTCGGCTTTACACCGTTCGTCGTTTCGTTCGTTGACTTGTGCTGCATCATCCATCCAGAGAAGTGCAAGCACCTCGTGCTGTCGACTGGCCTTCATGTTCGAGTTCACTGTAGTTAATCCACAGCTAAGATAGATACTTGCGGGTGCAGCGCTTTTAAGCTATTGACGCAGTCGAATAGCAGTATGTAACCGCAGGATGTCTAAGATTTTTCTGTCGCCCTGGAGTCGGTTTTATTCGTATCCTGTCTTGGATATTGAGCAAGACATTTGCGCAATTGTCAGCAACCTAACCAATATTATTGACTATTTGATCTGTTGGCTTTCCAAACATGAATTAGTTTGAAAAAGGTTTAATCCACCGATTTCCATGGCCCTGTTTACGGTATGGGTAGCACCTCGATGCGTGGTTTGAGAAAGGGTTGGTATGGTGCTACACCATCACAGCTAGCACTAAGACCCTTCCCATGTTGATCCATCGGTTGGCTCCCTTGCCCCTTCCTTTTCATCCTCGTATCGGTAGCGTTTTGCAATCCTTTGGCTGGTTCTGAGGCAAGTAGACTTTCTTCCAGGGTCTCCTAAAGAACCCTGTGAAGGTGCCTAGCTACAATTGTAACTGGCAGCGAATACTTGGACGATTTGAATAAGAGTGCATATACGTAAAAGAAGCTATTGTTACAGTAGAAGATTTTGGCGTTTAAAGGAGTCAACGCCGATGGGGGCCAACGGGAAGAGGTTGGATGATCGAATGCTTGATGATTCAGAGTAGGATGGATGGATGGAAGTTTTTGCGTGCTGCAGCATAGAATATTTGATTGTTGGTTGATCGCACTAGCTATGCGGCTGCCGCAGAACGGGTAGAGTATGTGGCAGTGTGTAGAAAGAGATCAATGTATAGGGCCATTCGTTCCCGACTCCCATCATCGTAACTGCTGCTGTTGCCCGCGGCATACATGATGTGACTCATGAGAATTTCCTGACACTGTTGTGCCCCTGTGTAGTGTCCCAGGAAGATGATAGATGTGTGCCTGATTGTTGACAATGGACAGTGCTTCCATGGACCCAGGGGCACTAATGGGGGCGGATGAGGAGGAGCTGTTTTGTCCCAAGACAAAGGCACCGTGATAAAACTGCAGTGCCTTGTGCAGACTCTTCCGGAACACGGTATGGTCCAATGGCTCGACTTCTCGATGAAGCAGAGCACCAATGTGAAAGCCAATCCTGACATTGTACACAATTGCCAAGGAGAGGCGTTCAGGATTTGAGTAGATGTAGACGTAATGTAGCTGTAGCAGTCGCTCTCTGTATCGACCTTCGGCAATCCAAATGGGCGCTTCAAAGACAAAGTGTGAAGCGCCCTTCAAATCTTCTTCGCTTCTGGCAGATACACGAGCAGCGGCTGGCAGAGGACAGTAGAAGAATTGGTAGTCTGGCAGGAACATGTCGCCATTGTTAGGATCTTCACTGCAGGCAACCAGAACATTGAGAGCATGGACACAAGAAGAAAACAGAGTGGTGGCTCTGCCTAGTCTTTCATCCTGTAGAAACACACAGCGTCATTGTTCTGACTGATTATCTGAGCAACCGTGGCGTGGAGGGAGAACATGGTCAAGAAATTTTTTTTAAAAAGTTTTGCTAGAAGTCTTTTTTCAGATTGCCAAGTTGCGAAATTATGAAACCTTCTCTATTTCTGGCTCAAGAGCTTCTTCCTTTGTACGGTACCGGTGCCATGTGCCAGGTGCCAGGTGCCAGGTAGATAGAAAGATTGGGTTGCTTGTGATGAGGGCGCTGAGCTCTGATGAGCAATCTGTAAAAAGAGACGCTCTGCAACAAACTGTACTAAGCATATTGGTACTCTACCAAAGTGCACCTGAGACCGCTAGTCTGGAGCAGTGGACTTGCGATTTGCATAAGAATCTGA